CCCTAATACCATGAAACCCACCACCCAACACCCCTAAAAACCAATCCCCAAACCCTTAAAAACCCATCACTCCCGAACCCCGTGACACCTACCCCCAACACCCCCGAAACGCCCCCCCAAAACCCCCTGAAACCCACCCCCCCTCAAATAAAAATCCACCACCCAATACCATCAAACCCACTGCTAACAACCACCCAAAACCCACCACCCAACCCCACCGAAACCCACCACCAAACAACCACCCAAAAACCTTCCTTTTGTTAAAAAATACACCAATGAGAGAGAGAGAGATGAGAGGCTGGAGAGCGGCACAGAGACGGAAAAGGGAAAAGGGAAAAGGGAAAAGGAAAAGGAAGGGAAGGGCTTTTATACTTGAGTAATAAAAATTATTTGTTTGGTGCTAATAGCTCTCAAAGGTTGGACCTCATTAAAAGTCTTACAAAGTTTTTCGCGTGATTTTATTTTGGATGTTTTCTTATTTTATCCTTGTTTTCAAAATAGAGCAATAAAAAAAAAACAAAACAGAAGTATTTATCAAATGTATTTTTATTTTTTTCTCCAAAAATTGAATAAAAAAACAAAAAAAAACCACTAAAAGTGATTGGGGTGCCAAGTGCAAACTGCCCTTCGATCTCCCGTGAGTTGGATGGGAATGAGACACGAGGGGTTATTTATAAAGCATTTGGGCTTGCCTTTTTCGCTTATCGCTTAATCTTTTTTACCAATCATATTTTTTAATCTTAAATTTTCTTATCTGATTTTTTTTCCCCCAAAAAAAACTGTTTTTATGCCCTCTTCAACAAAAGTATGACAATTGAATTTTGGTTTTTTTTCTCTGTTCAATCTAGAAATGTAATAGAAGAAAAAGAATTGATTTTTTAGGTCATTGTTAAACTGACGTACTTTGATTTTTTTACCAATAAAAATCTCTTATTATGATATTATTGTAAAAGTTTCCTTTGCTTAAACTTTTAGATTAAACTCATCATTTGTTTGTTTAGCAAGAGAGTGATGGAAAGTGCATGGAAAAGGAAAAAAAAATCAATTTCTTCACGTGTTTGTTTAGTATGAATGTCATGGAAAATGCAAGAAAAAAAAAAATTCCTGCTCCCCTGTATTTTATTGCAAATGACACAACTGGTTTCTCACAAAATGCATTGGAAAATCTTCTTTTTTTCATGAAAGTTTGCTCCTGTAAAATTTTATTGCTAATCAAATTCTGAGAAAATATATAGTTTTTTTTTTATTTCTTTTACTTCACTTTCTATTATTTTTACCTTTTATCATTTTTTTTTATAAACAAATGGACTTTTAAAGATCAAAATACAAAATAGACTTCCACCACATAATCTATTTACTCTAGGCAAAATAATCCTAAAATGGGTACATTAAATAATATCGTGTATACATGATCATGAAATATTATCACGGGAATAATTTATATATAGTTCCATCATGGTGACCGTTGCTTGAGCGAAATTTTTGTTTTTAATAATTAGAAAAATGTCTGAATCATGCGCACTTTACTTTTACACAAATTCAAATTGTTGACAATTAAGTATTTCATTATTAAATCATGTATATCACGTCAACTAAGATATATCTATGATTAGATATAAACTTAGACCTCGATAAATTAACTATTATATTATTGTTATTTGAACTTCACTTAAATGTCGACCATTCATAATTTTGTATTTTGCTCACGAATCGAAGACTAACAAAGCACTTACATTTTTCCACAAGCAAATAACAAGTTATATAGCATTCTTAATTTCAAGTACAAAACAATGTCGAATTTAGCAAATTCAACTGCAACAATTATCGTAATGACCAAAAAAAGACAAAAAAAAAAAGAAGAAAAATGCAACAATCATAGAAGTATAGAAACCTCCTTCCCGGGAGTTTGACTACAGTACTAGGGTGATCCTCCTAACAATGCTTGAGATTGTTTCTCATGGCTGAATCCTCCGGCCTTAGAGTCATCTGCAGACCAAACAAAGATACCATGAAGTTGTTGCTGCTGCTTCAGTCTATTGCAGGCAATAAAGAAGCCATTTTCTGGTGATAATCCGCCATTTCCCTCACTTGTAAAGCTTACTAGGACCTTACCACCCTTGTAATTTCTACTCTGGGTCTCGAAGAAACTAATGAATTGATCTACAGTTGTCCCCTGATCGTATGCGTAGAATTGAAAATTGACATAGTCTATGAGGTGACCATAGCTACTCCACAGAGCCAAATAATGGGCCTGAACTTGATCATTATCGAATGGAGCTATGGAAGCAAAAGAGATGACCCCCTCTTTTTTGAGAATTGTTATAAGCTGCCCAATACAATCGGCAAAGATTTCAGGAGTAGCACCGAATTGCTCGTAGTCGATATCAATTCCATCCAAGTTATACTGTTTGATGATATGCGTGAGAGAAGAAACAGCATTGGAAACCCATGAATCTACTGAGGAAGGGTTGAAGAGGACTTCGACACCTCCCGCCGTGGCCCCTCCTAAGCTCAATGCTACTTTGACATTTGAATGCTTACTTTTGATGGAAGAAACCTCGGAGGGACTAAGATTTTCCGAGTCCCAGAAGACATTGAATTTTCCATTAGTGGGAGAAGGAGATGATGAGGTGGTATAATCTATTGCAAAGGAGAGAATGAAATGGAATTCAACGTTTATGTTTATGGGGACATCAGAAAATTTGACATTTTGAAAGTTGGCTCCTATGTACTCTCGAAAGAGGGTCGTTGGGGCGGCTTGGGTTGGTGCATGGGAGAAGAGGAGAACTTGAAGAATGAAAACACAGAGAAAAGGCTTAGAGAATTCCATGGTGATTGAAGAGTAGGTATGTGTTGTAGTCTGTGAGAGAAATGGGTATTGTTGCATGTCATTTTATACTACAAGGGCTGTGTAGTTGAGGGCCATTAGTGACTCACAAAGTTACAATTAGAGACTTGGTCTACATGAAGTACATTCAGAAAACCATCATTCACATGATGTTTCAATATAACCAAGTTGTATAATCTTTTGTTTCTATGGAGAAGGAATTCTAAAAACAGTTGCTAAAGCATTATTTTTTCTAAGTTTTATTTTGTTCCATGGTTATTGTAATCCTGTCCATCAGCATATTTTCACCTGTCCCATGCATTTGTTTTCCATGAATTGTAGGGTGTGTTCATGGAATGTGGGCAAATATGTGTACCAAACACAAGTGGTATCACTGTAAGAATCCAAACAATCTTTTTATTGAGGAGTAACAGACGGCAATCTCGGAGCTATTGATCTGTTTGCCACGCAGCGGTGGTCCTGACTGATTACCTCTCTATAATAACCCTTTCACTAATGCTATCGGAACATAATAGTTAAAATATATTATATTCTCAAATTATCTCTCAATAATATGGCTCTAAACTTTTAGTACTGTACGAGCAATGTTACTTGTACCATTTATGTAGTGTTATCAGATACTTTAATACCGGGGTCCTATTAACTCATGTTATACGATGAGACCCTAATACATGATTAAAGTATTATTAAATTATCATTGGTCGAATTTAGTTAAATTATACCCTTTAATACTCGAATCAAACATCCCCTGTAAGTACCTGAAATGGCACTCACCCAACAGAAAGTAGCCATGAAGTTTCGCAGCACCACCTTTTCTTCTCCACACGCAATGTCAAGTCCATTCTAGTGGAAGTTTTTGCCGTTGTAGTGAAGGTTGCAGCCATTTTTCATTGCAGGAGAGGGAGCATCACTCCAAGAATGACATATAAATAGAAAGTGTTATGTTTAGGCCACATATTAACAATGCTGCTTATCATATTCTTTATTTCGTGTCTTTCACTTGTTTCTTATGACATGCCCAGTCAAAAGATTCTTGCATAGTATATTGGTGCCTAATCTGACCCTATTAAGTCGTCCGATGTGCCAAAAAAACAGTATTTAAACAAAATAATTGTAAAAATATTCTGGTCAGTTTTACTGAACAAAGACTTGGGATGAGACTCTTGTCCTTGATGATACCCAAAAGAAATCCCAAGAGTGAGCTCGAGTTAGGAGCTCGGCTTGGGAAAGCAAGTCAGCTGTCCAGAGCTCGCGTGGCCAGACCTTGAGCTCCCCTCAACTTCAGGAGGGAAATCAAGGAGGAGACAGCTGGTATTCCCGAAAAATCAAGAGATTATAATCAAGGCACAAAACTTTCAACCAACCAAAGATCTCCCTAAAATCAAGGGAGAACCCATGAATGAAGGACAAAAATTTCGCTGCAGATCCTGTAGAGATAGGAATTAGACTATAAATATTGTACAGAGCCTCCATTGAGAAGGGGGCAACCCTAAGATCGTCAAAAACACTTTATAAGTCATATCCGCCATGAATAAAGAAAAAGGAACAAGAGTCTCCATCAAAGAGTGGATTAATCGAACTCCCAAACTAGTGAACCATTATAATTTCATTGCCTAAATTAACCCAATTGCTTGAAGACTTTTCCACGATCCTCACGAACCTGGTAGCTCAGTTTAACACTGATTTCCATAGATCGCATGTTCTGCTCATCCACCTAACTACACCATCAGTCTTTATCTTATATTTATTTCATTGATGGATTGCCAGTGAGCATTTGGGCTTTTTCTAAAATAAACTAAGAAGTTGAGTTCCACTTCATCTTAGCTTTTGTCATTGATTAGACAAATGATAATCGTCCATTACCTATGGATGGAATCGTATGTGTCATGCTCTAATCTTGTCATTCATCAGTTTGCAACTCAATAAGATTTCAGTATTGATGCTTCACATGGAGAGGCAAAACTAAATTAAACGCAACATGCCTGTTGGTGTATTTGACTGGCGAGGGCAAAGAATGTGGTGAATTGCATAGATGCTAACAAGATTTCCAGAACCCTTGCACCATATCATATTTTGTATCAAGAACTTGTTAAGCTAATAAGATGATCCTGTCAAATCTCTCCATATGAAGAGATAAGACTCATTATCCTACCTAATGTCGTAATAATAAAAAACTCGTACGTTGGGTTGCCCATTTTCTTATTCAAAGGGTAGCTTAAGTAATAAAAAGGATGAATTGTAAATCCAGATAATCTGAGTTCGAATATTAGCAATCCTTTAGAATAAGGTCATAAGAGATTTATCCTACGTGAATACTCTAATTCTGCGTGGATGACCTACTTTTGACTGAACTGAAAAAGAAATTAACTAAGGATGATTAGTTATACTGAACAAATGCTTAGGATGACTTTCTGAAAAGACCAAAAAAAAAAATGGTTAGTATCACTATTGAACCTTAAAATATGTCTATTTTATCAGTTTGGTCCTCATTTTATTAATTTTGTTAATTTGGTCTTTAAAATTTCAATTCGTGTTATTTTGACCCCTAATTGGAGAATTTGTTATATTTTTTGACGAAAATGACCACATGTCATTTTTTCAAACAGTATCACGTGACTAACACGTAATCATGCCGACAAAAAATAAACGATTCGTCAGTGTAAGGATCATTTAAACATAAATTAAATACTTTAGACACTAAATTAACAAAATTAATATTTTAGAAAATAAATTGACAAAACATACATATTTTAAACATTAAAAATAGTATTAACCCAAAAATAAAAAGAACAAAGTCTTGGGATGATACACTTGTCTTTGTGTTATTTTTATTGCATTGATGAATTGCCCGTGGGTTTTATTTTCCTAAAAGAAACTAAGAAGCGAGTCCCGCTACATCCTAGCTTTTTGCCATTTAATAGACTGATGATAATCATCCATCACCGACATCATTTAATTATGATCTAGTCCTGTTATTTGTCAGTTGTAAGTCAATAATTTATATATAACGGAATTTGAATTTTGAAGATAAAGAGAAAGATTAAATATAAATAAATTTAACGGACAACATAATTTTAACATAAAATACGGTTCAGAGTTTCTAAAAAATTTTAATTTAACGGTATATAATAATTATCGAATTTTATTTTTCCGCCCAACAGCCTGAGTCACGAGTCTCTCTCTCTATCTCACGCCTCTCTCTCTTCCACTCCCAAGTATCACGCTTCTCCTTCCCAAAACTACATCATATCCTATCTTTCTCCCTCTCTCACCGATGGCATTCAAAATACCACCTATCCATACCGGTGATATTTCGTTGATAAGTTAGATTTTATGAGCTCGAGACGAGCCAATCAAATTTGTTTTTTTAAACGAGTTAAAAAAATTAGACAAATTTGGTTCGTTTAAAAAACGAATCAAACCTAAAACAAGTCAAACCCAAATAACTTGACTCGATTATCAGCCAGCTCCCATCATGTGGCTCGGCTGTTGAGTAAATATAATTTTTGTCTAATTAGTATGACTATACTGCAACTCTCAAGTTACCCACCACCAAAGAAATGAGGTGAATGCATAGATGTTGACAAGATCTCCAGAACCCTTGTACCATATCATATTTTGTATCAATTTACATGTCATGGCTTAAGTCAAAAAAACAACCTCTCTACATACAAAGATAAAATTACGTACACCTGCTTCTGCCTAGATGTTGTAATGAGTGAAAACTGTGTGTTGGGTTGACCATTTACATAGAAGCATCTAGTCAGGTCCAGCAGTTCCAACCATGAACTAAAGTATGATCATCAAAGGCAAAATTAATCAGAACCACACCATTGCATGGCATTGATCAATAGCTCCAACACTGCCGTCTCTTACTCTCCACATCCTCCCCGTATCAAAGAGACTGTTTGGATTCTTGCAGTGATGCGGCTGATGCCTCTTATGTTTGGTACATACATATTTGCCTTCTTATACAAAAACATCATGTCCATGACAGTTTTCTGAATGTTCTTCATTGTAGACCAAGTCTCTCTATCACAAACTGCCTTCAATTCATGTAAATCTAACTATAACTTTTGATTCCCTCATGGCCCTCGCCTGCATACCCATTGTAGTATATAATGGCATGAAGCGACTCCCATTTCTCTCACAGACTACAACATACAGATATTCTTCAATCATCATGGAATTCTCTTGGCCTTTTTTCTCTGTTTTCATTCTTCAAGTTCTCATCTTCTCCCATGCAACAACCCAAGCCGCCCCAACGACCCTCTTTCGAGAATATATAGGAGCCAACTTTCAAAATGTCAAATTTTCTGATGTACCCATAAACACACACATTGATTCCACTTCATTCTCTCCTTCGCCATAGATTATACTATCTCATCTCCTTCTCCCACTAATGGGAAATTCAATGTCTTCTGGGACTCGGAAATCTCAGTCCCTCCGCGGTGTCTTCAATCAAAAGTAAGCATTCAAATGTCAAAGTAGCATTGAGCTTAGGAGGGAACACGGCGGGAGGTGTCGAAGTCCTTTTCCACCCTTCCTCAATAGATTCATGGGTTTCCAATGCTGTTTCTTCTCTTACGCATATCATCAAACAGTATAACTTGGATGGAATCGACATCGACTACGAGCACTTCGGTGCTACACCTGAAATCTTTGCCGAGTGTATTGGGCAAGTAATAACAATTCTCAAGAAAAATAGAGTCATCTCATTTGCTTCCATAGCTCCATTCGATGATGATCAAGTTCAAGCCCATTATTTGGTTCTGTGGAAGAGCTATGGCCGCCTCATAGACTACGTCAATTTTCAGTACTACGCATATGATCAGGGAACCACTGTAGCTCAATTCATCAGTTTCTTCAAGACCCAGAGTAGAAATTACAACGGTGGTAAGGTCCTAGTGAGCTTTACAAGTGAGGAAAATGGCGGATTATCACCTGAAAATGGCTTCTTTACTGCCTGCAATATGCTCAAGAAGCAGCAACAACTTCATGGCATCTTTGTCTGGTCGGCAGATGACTCTAAAGGCCGGAGGATTCCGCTTCGAGAAGCAATCTCAAACACTGTT